GTAACTGAAATAAAGAACTGATACAAAATACATTTAGACTGTAAATAAATAACATAATATCAATAATCAACATGGGATGGAACCCCTGGTCTCCATCACATTTCCTCCCCCGTCACCCAGGACAACAGTACTCAGTCCTCAAACATCCTTGACAGAGAGTCAGCCACAAGGTTAGACTTCCCTGACCGATACTGCACTGTAAAATCAAAAGGTTGTAATGACAGATACCATCTTGCAATACGCATATTAGAGTCTTTCATTTGGTGTAGCCATTTCAGCGCCCGATGATCTGTCTCCAGGGTAAAATGGCGGCCCAACAGATAGTACCGCAGTGATTCCACAGCCCACTTAACTGCGAGGCATTCTTTTTCGACTGTGGAATACCTGGTCTCTCTGTCTTGAAGCTTCCTACTGAGAAAAACAATAGGATGTCTCTCACCATCAATGTCCTGCAGCAATACAGCACCAAGGCCCACTCCAGAGGCATCAGTTTGCAGTATAAACGGTTCATCAAAGTCTGGACTGTAGAGAACAGAGTCACTGGAGATTGCAGACTTCAGGTCCTTGAAAGCTTTGTCACACTCATCAGTCCACTGTACTTTATTTGGTGCAGAGACTTTTGTTAAATCTGTAAGAACAGCAGCCCTGTCTGCGAAATGGGGAATGAACTTACTATACCACCCCACTAACCCAACAAAGGCACGGACCTTCCTTTTTGTTGTAGGAACTGGGTATGCATGAATCGCTTCTACTTTTCCCACTTGAGGTCTAACTTGGCCATGTCCCACCACATAGCCCAGGTACTCTACCTGCCTCTGAGCCAACTTACATTTATTAGGGTTAATGGTGAGGCCAGCAGATCTAATGAGCTGTAAAACATGCTGCAAATGATTAACATGCTCCTCCCACGTCTGGCTAAAAATCACCACGTCATCCAGGTATGCTGCAGCAAAGTCAGATGCCTCCCTCAGCACCTGGTCCATGAGGCACTGAAACGTCACTGGTGCCCCCTGCAGGCCAAAGGGCATAACCCTGAACTGAAAAACCCCACATGGTGTTTTAAATGCAGTCAGTTCTTTCGCCTCTGATGCCAAGGCCAGCTGCCAGTAGCCCTTGCTGAGGTCAAGTGTGGTAATAAAATTGCATCTCCCAACTCTCTCCAACAGTTCATCAATGCGAGGCATTGGATAAGGGTCAAATTTAGAGACACTATTTAGGTATCTAAAATCAATACAAAATCTTAAAGTGCCATCCTTTTTTGGTACTAGCACTACTGGACTGCACCATTCACTCACAGAGGGCTCAATGATCCCCAGCTTCAACATGAACTGTATCTCGTTCTTGAGTTGTGGGACGAGACGTTCTGGAACCCTGTAGAACTTCCTGCGAGGTGCAGCATCGTCTCTGAGGTGAACCCTGTGTTTCATCAGGCTTGTGAACCCAGGTTTTTCCTGAAACAGCTCTGGATCTAAAAGGGGTTTTATGTCCTGCTGTTGGGATGGCTGAAGATGAGAGAGAGAAATTGCAACAGGTACGGAGCTACAGGCTGGAAAAAATAGCTCATCTTCCTCCTCATCGTCCACCACACGCACAAAGAGTTGCGGTACAACAGTTTCTGCATGCTCCTCATTCTGCCTTGGAACCTGTTGAGATGACTGAGAAGCAGACGGTATTGCAAACTGTTGTGGTGAGTCGTGGTATTGTTTCAAAAGATTTACATGGAAAGTTTGATGTTTCTTCTTCCTTTCTGGCATATACAGTTCATAATTAAGCTTCCCAACACATCGTGTGACCTCATAAGGGCCCTGCCATTTCGTGAGAAGCTTATTGTCACTGGTGGGAAGCAACAACAACACTTTCTGTCCAGGATGAAAACTCCTCTCCCTGGCCTTTTTATCGTACCAGGTTTTTTGTTTTGCTTGAGCAGTTTTCATGTGTTGATGTGCCATTACAGCCATTTGTTCAAGTCTCTCTCTCATTTTTATCACATAGGACACCACATGCTCACCCGATGGACTTGGGCTTTCCCATTGCTCTTTAAGAAGATCCAACGGCCCCCTCACTTGTCGTCCATACAGCAGCTCGAATGGAGAGAATCCAGTTGACGCTTGTGGAACTTCTCGATATGCAAAAAGCATATAGGGCAGCCATTTGTCCCACTCTGTGCCAGTCTCTGACACAAACTTGCGCAGCATGTTCTTCAGTGTTTGGTTAAAACGTTCAACCAGTCCATCTGACTGGGGGTGATACGGGGTGGTGTTTATACCCTTTATACCTAACAACTGATAGACCTGCTTCAAAAGGTTTGACAAGAAATTAGTCCCGCAGTCTGTAAAGATCTCTTTAGGAATGCCTACCCGTGAAAACAGATGAAGCAAACAGCTACTTGTTTAGCTTTCACTGATCTCAAAGGAAAAGCTTCAGGGTATCTTGTAGCATAATCACAGATAACCAGAATGTAACGGTTACCAGAGGAGCTTTTCTCCAGGGGACCTACAACATCCATTCCTATCCTTTCAAATGGTATTTCTATGATAGGTAATGGCTGTAGAAGTGCTTTAGAAACACCTCTGTTCGTAGTTAACTGACACGTGTGACAGGAAGAGCAGAACTGTTGCACCTGTGTATACATGCCTGGCCACACAAACCGACTTGCTATTCTATGAAGGGATTTCTGAAATCCTAGGTGCCCGGCCCAAGGAACTGAATGAGCGAGTTCCATCACTTTTCCCCTTAGCTGCTGTGGTAAAGCAATGGCTTCTGATCCACCTTTAACCTGATAAAGGACACCATTCTTCACAACATAAGTTGCATCTTCCAAGGCATTTATTTTACCCTGCTTCTTTCCCTCTACTTCTGTAACCTTATCAAACCATGGTTTTAATGTTGGGTCTGATCTCTGATGGGCAGAAATATCTGAAGGAATATCAAAGTCAAATAACGGGCAAGGTTTCATCTTTCCTTCCACCTCCATTCTGGCTGAACCTAAAAACTTCTCCTTTCTTCTTTGTGCTCTGGATTTGGATGGTTTTATACTGCCCACCTCCAGTTCTACATCATAGAATGGTAATTCCTTAAGCGAGTTCTGTACCGCCTGGGCTCTAGTAGTGACCAAGCTACAGATTGGAGAGGAAAGTTCTACTCCTGTCACTATGGGGACATTTTTCTGGAAGAGTGTAGTGTTCTGAGTCTTTAACTGTGTTCCCTCATGGCCATCAGTTTGAGTCAACTGTCCAGCTGCTGTGTTTGACACTAAATCAGTCAAAGTGGGGACATCCAAGCCCAAAATGACAGCATAAGGAAGCCTTGAAGCTAATGCTACAGGTAACAGAAATGTCTGACCTCCTATAGTTAGATAAATCTCAGCTACAGGATACTCCATTTCATCACCGTGAATGCAACTTATTTTTGTCTTAGCATCACTCCACAGTTCTCTTGGCACTAAGCTAGACAGAACCACAGACTTGAAACTTCCTGTGTCTAACAAAGCTGTTTCACGTTGACCATTAACCAACACAGGGACTGTGTGAGCAGGTTCAGGGGCAGTGGATGGGGTGGGTGGTCTGGGAACTGAACAGAGAAGGGAGGGCTTACTCCGTGTAGTGGCAGGACATGTATACTGTGTATGACCCATTCTGTTACACTGAAAACACCTGACATCTGGTCTTGAGGAAGAGTAGTTCTTAGCAGGGTTGGGTTTAGCAACAGAAAATGACTTGGTAGCTGAATAACTCCTAGTCTGACCTATAGCACCACCCCTTTCACCCCCATCAGACTTACTTCTTCCCGTAGGAAAGTTTTCACGGCCAAAGTGGGCTCTTCTCGTCCCCGTCCTTGCTGACAAGAAGACTTCTGCCAAACTTGCCGCCTCCTCTGCAGACTTTGGGGCTCGTTCCCGGATCCACACCTCCAAGTCCGGATTCACCATCCTCAGGAACTGCTCCATGATCATCAGTTCTGAAATGTTCTTCACTGTAGAAGTCTCTGGTTTGACCCACTTATAGAACATGTCTTTGAGTCGAACATAAAGTTCTTTTGGAGTCTCACCCTGATGAATGTCCAGGGATCGAAACCTCCTTCTATAGGTGTCGGCAGTTATCTCATATTTGGTCAGAATGGCATCTTTCACCTTATCATACATGTGAGAATCAGCAATGTCCATCAGCACATACGCACTACGTGCTTTCCCAGTAAGTAGTGGAACCAGTCGGACTGCCCACTCATCTTTAGGCCAATGACAGACCTTAGCTATCCTTTCAAAAGTTGTCAAGAAGTGCTCCACATCATCATCAGAAGCCAATGGAAGCAGCTTTGGCTCCCTCTGTGTGACTGGAAGCTGGAAAGACATCTGACTTTGTCCATCATCATGACTGTCTCCGTCATCATCATGAGTGTGAGGATCCTCCTCCAAATAGTCACCCTCATGCTGTCGTTCCTCCTTCAATTCCTCCACATGATTCTGGAGTTGTCGAAACTGTTGTTGTAAATTCTTCCATCTTACTTCTTGGCGTGCCGATTCCTTCTCAATCTGCTGATCTCGGGCAGTTTGGGCCTGCATCAGTGACTTGACGAGGCTTGCCAGCTGATCCAGTTTGTCATCCGTGCTAGCACCAGTAGCTGCTTCAGCTCCACTCATAGCAGCACTACTCTCTGGAGTCTCAGTTTCATTACTTCTTTTACCACCTCTTGTCATCATCGTCTCATTGTTCCTCCAAAAGCCACACTTCTGACACCATTTGTCACTTTGACCAGCGGAGGCTCTGCGTTAAAGAAGGAAGTGAGGCAACAAATGTCTTTGAGGTGGATTTATTTGGGAGCTCCAGGTCACCATTACACCGACACCCTTCACACAGTGAAGCAAAGAAGCTGACATTCATACCTGAGGCAAGTTCCAACACTTAACCAGGTAAAGGGGTGATCAAAAAAAAGATAAACAAGAAACAAACACTACTTACACAAACCTAGCAAACAATAAATGAGCCAACAAATATTTACATGCATGCAAATTATTAAAACTAAACTAATCTAAGGTCAATCAAAAGTAAATATAACTAAATATAAATCCTCAGAGTATTACCCCTCTTAATGGAAGATGGTATGCTCCAAGAGCATTTGTCTCCCTTTCTGCTCCACCTTGCTGAGACACACCCAGAAAGGCAAGTACTCAAACAATTAACTCAAATTGAACCAATCTAAATCAGAAACAAACTGACATCTTCCCCCATATTCTCTGAACAGGAAAGATGGCCAGTCTCCCTACCCAAAAAGAATGTTCACTAAATGTCACAATGTAACTGAAATAAAGAACTGATACAAAACACATTTAGACTGTAAATAAATAACATAATATCAATAATCAATATGGGATGGAACCAGTGGTCTCCATCACAAGGTTGTGACAATTTTGTTCTGCTCCAATTCAGGTAACTTTTCATCTGGAGTTGGAGTTCAGCCATTCCATCTTTCTTCATTCGGCACAAGTAACCATGGTAACGACTAGGTGAGAAACTTATTTCTGATGTTTATCATTATAGCAATATCTTAGTTTGACTTATCAAAAGTAAATTTGCATTATTTTAAAAATACAATATTGATATTATAATTATAACAATAATTGTTAATATTTTATTGAAAGCCTACAAACTCCGTTGGATTAGGTATTAAATATTAGTATGACAGTTTAAACATTGAGTGCTCTAGTTTTGCTAGAAAAACTATACAGTAGGATCAGTGGCGCAACTGCACATTATTCAGGTGGATGCGAAAACATAAATCGGCGTTCGCCCCCCCCCCCTCGAAGGAAGGAACGTCAGCGTAGAAAACATACGCTCGCTTCCCCACCCCCCCGAGGCGAGGATATGTGAAGTGTGAAACTCGCGCTAGATTTACCTGATTATATGCGTGAGGTGAAGGAGCGTAAGGCTCGCTGAAGTGTATGGGAAAACATAATCGGCCCCCTCCAGACGGGGTTTTGGCGCCCCCTCTGGTGCTGCGTCCCTATGCATTGCATGCGCTGCATACCCACTTTTTGCGCCACTGAGTAGGATTGATGTAGAAATAGCTGAATGTTGCTGCATTGAATTAAACTAGAGTTTAATTCAAGGGTGGCCAGATGATGATCAAGGTTGTAACATGGTGTCTGTACACTAATAAAAGAATATATTCAGTTGCTCTAACCTGGTAGTGATGTGTGAGTCCTGAATGAATTGCTCAAAAACTTTTATGAATATTATATTCATAAAAGAACTGCCCTGTAGCAAAGCAACTTACACTCAATATTCAACCGCTCTGCTTACCTGACTTTATATTATGTCTCTTAACCCCCTTCTTTCCCCATTTTCTGGTTCTTCCCATAAAGGGGAGTTTTTCCTCGCCACTGTCGCTACATGCATTCTTTGCACCAATGACTGATTGGTGTAAAGTCATCAACACAATTCAACTTAATGTCTGCTATCGCTACATCCTCATCCAGGAAGAGTAAATGGTGCAGCTCAATGACTCCATGCAACCCACTGAATTTCCTAAGATAGAAAACTTATTTTCCCCAGTTTGAATGATAAAGTGAACTTGACTGGCTTTTTTGATAACTAGGATTATTATTGAATTGACTTGACTTTTTTTTTCTTTTTTGGTAAAGTGCCTTGAGATGACATGTATTGTGAATTGGCGCTACTTAAATAAAATGAGTTTAATCAGTAAACTGAAATTAATTACATATACTTTTGCACTACAATTTGAAGGCTGGCTCATCTCAAATGTTTTGAAATGTTTCCATGTGTTAATCAGTGAGGGAGAGGATGGATACCCAGATGACAACACCAATAACATCATCCTCCCTTTAAAATATCAAGCTGACCTTCTCTTCACCAGGTGGGTCTTATAGCCATTTAAAAGTAAAAGAATGGTGAACCTGACATAAATGTTACTTTATCA